AAAATAAGGTGAAAATTTTTACCTTGAAAATCATTTTTTACAAAGACATATTTTGGTCTACGTACATCGATGCTCATTTGTTTTATATTTATCCTTCTTTTGTTTTTATTTCTTCCCGCACATAGAAACGTCACATTTTATTGTACATTTTCTGTTTAAACAGTTACCCAATCAGCACGAAAACTTGCAAGAAGTTTGTCGTGCAAGATTGCAGTGCAAACATGTAGCAAGTTTGGTGCAAGCAACAAAATGTCCTGCAGTTAGCGCAAGCATACTGCAAGTTTGCAAAACTTAATGCGATGCGCAGTTGTAAATGGAAGCTCCTACGGCTGCGCAATAAATTTTTTAACATCTGAAGCAGGGTGCCCTTTATGTTACCTTGCCACAAGAGGACATTTTGTTGCTTGCACCAAACTTGCTACATGTTTGCACTGCAACCTTGCACATATTGCACGGCAAGCTTTTTGCAATTTTGCTGCAAGTATTTGTGCTAATTGGATAATAAAAGTATTACAGAAGCACATTTTCAATTATATGGAAATTATCTAATTTTGCTTCCTCGTGGAGGAAGCTATGTAGTCCTTTCGTTTATAAACTTTTTAAAAATGGTGAAAACAAATTTTCCTCTATATAGAAACATGTTATATGAGATCCTGATCAATTGTCCGGATGTATGTATGTGTGTGTGTATGTGTGTGTGGATCGTTTTTGTGAACACGATATCTTTAACAGGTTTTAATGGATTTGGATAAAATTTGGTAGGCTTATTTAACACATTAATCTCTCAAAAATGACGAGAGGATTTTTAAAAATACCCCAAAAAAAAAATTTTATCGTCTTTTTTCCAAAAAATTTTTTTTAATTGAAAAAATTTTTAAATCGAAAAATTTAAGGTAATATATAATATAATCGTCTTCTTTATGTCAAGATGAATCGATTGATATATATAAAGTATAGATTTGATTGAAATTTAAAGAATTAAAGAAAGTTAAAAAATCAAAAATTCTCATTTTAGCTCAAAAATGATGTGTTTATTTAAATTCATGTTTATATATGAAATAATTTTATTCCCTGCATTGAAACGAATTGGTTGGTATATATAAAGTATAGATTTGATTTAAAATTTGAGAATTAATAAAAATTGAAAAATCGAAAATTCATATTTTAGCTAAAAAATTTTGTGTTTTTTTTAAATTCAAGTTGATGAATAAAATAATTGTATTCCTTGCATTAAAACGAATCCCTTCGTATATATAAAGTTTATGTTATACTCAAAATTAATTAAAATTTTCTTTATTTTTCAAAAAATTTAATTAATTTAAAACATTTTTAATTCGAAAGTTTTTTAAAATCAATCAATTGAATTGGACAATTTCATTGCTTCCTTCACGAGGAAGCGAATTTTTTGCTTCACACAATGAGGAAGCATAATGTTTATGAAATAAACATAAAGGACCCCCTACTTGTTTAATTTTATTATTTATAATTTAAAGAAGAGGTTTGTTTTTGTGTTTTGCTTTATGGTGTAATCTCTTACAGTTATTTAACTTCTTTTTGTTATTTAGTTAAAAGTTGATTGTAAATGTAGCAAAAATGGAAGAATTTAGTAAAAGGAAATTCTTGAGAAATTTAAAGAATTAAAAAATATTGATTTAGTCGTAAATTATATAGGTATTTTAACAGAGACAAATTGATATTTTCAATATCGACGAAAAATCTATAATCCTTCTTAGAACTGCAATTTATTAACTAATAAATAAAAAAAATTAAATTTAACGCTGAAAAAAGAATGAAATCTAGATTTGAATTAAAACATGCTGAATGGTTAAATTCCAGTTTTAGTATGCCTAAACTGATTACGGCTAATCAACCAGAAAAAACAAATTTTAATCCTCGTCCTGGTCGTCCAAATGTCATATTTGAAGAAAAAAGTGATAGATCTAAACCTCAGATTTGTAATCAGCGACCCTGAAAACCCCTAGACATCAAGTTTTACGATTATTTAAAAGGTTTTTTCAAATTTCATCCGACATTTTAATTTCTTGAATCTGACTTCAGATTCGTAGTCAGCGACCCCGAAAACCTCTAGGCATCGAGTTTCATGAATATTTTAAAGGTTTTTTAAAATTTCATCCGCCAGTTTGAATTTCGTGAATCTGACCTTAGATTCGTAAGTAGCGACTTTGGAAACCCCTAAATACCAAGTTTCATATAAATTCGTTGAAATATTGAATTATGACCGCTTTTGGATGCTTCCTGGCCCACAGTGAAAATTATCAATTTCAGATAGCAGATAACAGGGAGTAAAAGGTATTTATTTCATCGACCTTTAGGAAAATCGTTAATTTTGCAGTGGAAGTAGATGTTATTGCTAATATGATTACGGTCAAATTTTTATGTTAACAGTACACTGTTTTTGTGTTAATACTGAAGCGATATGCGCATTTTCTTATAAACAGTAAGCATTATAAAAATATCTTGAAAAAATGCAGACAACAGTGATTTTATAATTTTTTCCAAGTGTGTTAAATAGGTGTGAATTATTAAAAAAATGTGAGTGCAATTCTTTTTTGTGCACAGTTTACAATATATTTTGTGATTTAATTTTGAATTTGACCAAAATATCAGAACTACAGACATTTTTGGCTTCTCCAAGGGTGCCCACTAAGGTTGTTCAAAAGAAATTTTTTAAAAATTTTTTTAAGTCTTACCCCCTTAATATCTTTTATATGGTAAAAAAAAATTTCTAATTTTTTAGATTTTTTGAACAATTTCTAGAGGTCGCTATTGTCGCACAAAGTACGGAAATCCATTATTTTCTAAAGAACATATATTTAATCTGATGTTAGGTGTTAAAAACATTTCAGCATTTCGTAAAATAATGTTTCAAGAACTGCTCTTTCAGATTCTGCAATAAAAATTAAAGTAACTTTAAGGAAAAAAAATATATAGCTACTTTTTGACAAAAAATGATATTTTTTAAACATTGTCCGTCGTAAATGATTTTTCTTGTGGTTCTACAGTATCAGTATATGTATGATTACGAATCTGAAGTTAGTTTTTTAAAATTTTAAATGGCGGATCCAATATGTCGGACGTCAAACTTAAAAATTAATGGATTTTAATAAAACATCGTATCTAGGGGTTTTCGAGCTCGTTGATTACAAATCTAAAGTTAGTTTTTAGAAATTAAAAATGGCGGATCCAATATGGCGGACGACAAACTTAAAAAATTAATCGACTTTAATAAAACATGATATTTATTCATAATTTATAATAAATTACTTCCAATCAATTGTACTGACTTATTTTTTGAGAGTTTATGTATATCAATAATAGAATGTCAACAATAATCTAAAGCCATTCATTTTTATAATTTAATGCCACCATATTGGATCCGTCATTTTGAATTTTTAAAAACTAATTTCAGATTCGTAATCAGCGACCCCAAAAACTTCCTGATACAGAGTTTCATGAAGTTCCATTGAATTTTATAATTTAAGGTCCGCCATTTTGAATTTATCAATCTGCCTTCAGATTTATAATCAGCGACCCAAAATACTATTGAGCATACAGTTGTGCAACCATTAAACGAACTAATTTTCAACAAAGAGTTTCGTCTAGTTAATTTCGAGATGAAAATCACCATGTTCGCGCGCTTTAACTATGAAAATATGGCCGTTTCCGAATTAGGATTTTTGTCGCACTTTTGATGAAGTGTATACTTGGGAAGTATGCAGTGTCCTTTTTTTCGCACGGAAAAACAAGAACACTGCATACTTCCCGAGTATACACTTTATCAAAAGTGCGACAAAAATCCCAATTCGGAAACGGCCTATCGAAAAGGGGCCAAAAGGGGAAAGAAGTGTATGTGTTAAATTTTTTTAGTAAGAGTGAGATTAAAAATGAGAGTGAGGATGAGAGTGAAAATTTGTTTAGTGAGAGTGAGAGTAGAGTTACGTGAATGCACCCCTGGAATATGCACTACACTGCTAAAACGAGCCTGCGACAAACAGTATTCGGGGCTCGCTTTTTTATATTCCTTTTGTAAAATGTAATAAGTTTCATGTTTTAATAAAGAAAGATAAGTAAAAGATTACATATAATCTTTTGGATCGTATAAAGCGTCGTTAAATGGCATATTCTTACAGATGACTTTAAAATACTTTAAAAATTTATTTCAGTATTTTTCAATACAATAAATTCTAAAAATTAATAATTTGAATTTAAATTTGAGAAAATTATATTTATAATCTTAATTATATTGAATATTTATTTTAAACTCTTTAATTGTTCATGTGCTTTGTGTTTTGTTTACATTTTTTTAACCTCAATTATTATAAGAATTTTATTAATTTTCCACTCACCTTTTTTAAATATAGAAATACATCGTATGGAATTTCATTTTCACTGATTAGTTTATCACTATAATGACACTGGCGTATCATTTTAATTTAGTTATCGTTCTTTATCTGCATTTTAAGTTTCTAATGCGAAGTTAGCTTTTTAATTGCTAAAATAATATACTTCATTCGGCGAAATGGCGGCTCTCTCATTGTCTATAATTATCACAATTTCAATTACATTTCATTTAAAATTATTTCACTTTATTCAAAGATCTCAAAAAAGGCTATCTTAGAATTTTACCAACGTACTTCCTATGTGTTATCCTTTTTTGAATCTTTTTCCAAAACAACGTTTTTTGACTTGATCAAGCTGAAATTTTTATGGTTTATTCTACAGATATTCCCCTATCGTCCGAACTAATTTTTTCAATTTTTTCAGCCAATCACAAGTAGGGGTAGTTTTAGGCGGGCATGATAGCAAGATAATTTATAATAAATAAAGAATAAAATTTTTTTTTTAATAGTTTAAAACTCCTTCATTTATGAATTAGAAGTTTGAATAAAATAAAATAAATTTTGTTATTAATAAAGGTTTGAAAAAATAACGAAGTGGTAATAATCCCCTAATGGTTTAATTATTTTTTGATTTTTCAGAACGTCCGCAACCTCCAATGAATTGTACATTTTATAAAGACTTCAGTACACTTATGCTTAATTGTTTTCCTGGGTCAGACCAAAATTCGACTCATCACTTTATACTCGACGTACGAGAATCAATTCTTCAGAGCCAACCTGCACTATCACGACAAATGTTACTAACACCTCAAAGAGATCAAGAGGCACATGAAACTACACATTCAATTTATAAAGAAAGAAACATTATGCCCATCTTTCAATTACGCGATCTAAAAGCAGGACATGAGTACACAATATTCATTTATGCTGAAAACGAACAAGGAAAAAGTGAACCAATTGTGATGAGAAATGTTAAATTAATCAATTCAATTGATACAATACTCAGTAGAGATGTTACATTTATAAAAGATTTAAAAAGTGTTATGCCGAAAACAAATTCTGAGAACAACATATTTATTATTGGATTAATTGGTAAGTCTATGCATATGAATATCCGAAATGAAGTATGAGTGTCAATTACACCCAAAAAAAAGTAATCTTAAATTTAGAAAAAAATTCCTCTTCTAAAATCCTCTGAATATTTCCTCTTAAAATACAAATATTCCATTTTACTGTAGAATATTTTTATTCTTTTCCTGTTTAAATTTAGTATAATTATTTGAAAAAAGGAAAAGTAAATACATGATATCGATTACATTTTTTTTCTGTTTGACATTTGCGCTTTTGTTTTTCGAAACTGTCAATTTTCGTATTTTGTCATAATAGTGTTGTGTTATAAATCGAAAGACTAAAATGGAAAAGAGACTCGAAGATTTACTAAATGATTTAAATCTGGGTGGATATATTGAATGGAGGTATAAATACAGAAAATATAACCTCTCGATAAATCTTCATTTCTTACTAATTTTCTTAAATATTTGCGTCGAACTTCTTTGATATTTGCAACTAGCTATAGCATGTTTTTTATTATTATTGTAATTAAATCTAATGTATTGATGCTCAGCAAACAGCAAGAAATTTTTTTCAGAAATGTTTAATTATGTTACGTCTCAAATAGAGAAATAACTAACGAAATAATACTTTTATTTTATTTATGGCCGCTAGGTGATTCAGTGAATTCCTGTTTCATTTACAGAGCAGAAGGCTCTTAACTAAGGGTACAGGAAAGAAAGAGAATAGTGATTAATTTTATAATTAGGTTACAATTTATTTAGACAAGTATTTTTAGTTACAACAATTCGTTCTTATGAGAGAGAGGAATGAATCTCCCAATAATGAGTTTCTTCCAAATAAAGGAAGAATAGATAATTGCCCAATGTAATGAGAAGTAATGATCCTCGTTTAATGTAGAGGGTTTTGACACTTGATTTTCACTTTCGTATAAGAGAATTATGCACTTGAACTAGAAGACGTCGTCTGGTACCAAGAATGAGGTTGATGTTATACGTATGAAGATGATTTGAGAACTGATCTCTCCGTGAAAATGTAGTCCTTTTATACTGATTTTTCGTAAGAGAATAGATAAAATTTTATTGTCGTACTATATATTTTTCACCCTTATTTTGGAAGCCAAAGTTGAGTCCTTCTCCCTCAGTTTAACGTAAAAAAGGGGGGTGTGAACCATTCTAATACAAGATAGAAAGAGTACGACTACGGTTATTCGCAGCTGTAGAAGAGTGTTTATGGTCTTCTAATGTGGTGATACCACAGGGGTTCGTCACATAGGAAAATTAGAAAGAGAGCATTTATTACATCGTCTAATTTTAGCACATAGGGAAAATTAGAAAGAGAGCATTTTGTTTCGTAGGGATGTGAGCTCTTCTAGTGTCATAAAAGATTTCTCGCTTCTATTTGTATGTTTTTAGAAATACAGTATATAGACGTAGAAGGATACAAAACGCAGGGGTCTTTTATATATAAAAGAAAGATATTTAGTTGTGCGACAAAAGGGCGGAAATTTAACATTTAAGAGAAAAGTATTTAGATGCGTAACATTCTTATAATATGAATATTAAAGTTACGGTGACGTGACAATTAAAAATCAATATTTCATTCATTATTCTAGGAATCTATTATAATTTACCTTTTTTGAATGTAAATAATTAAATCTTATTAAATATTTATTATATTATTCAAATTTAAAAAAATTATTGGTTCTCTTGACATTAATAACACTAGGAATTTTTTTTGTTGAGGTTTTGATATCAACATTTAATTCAATGTGTCAAACCTTTACTTTATTATCAATACATAACCATTATTGTCTAATAATTTATTCAAAACATGTGTATTACGGTTATTTTCAACTTGTCAAAATATTAGAATATTATTCTTCCTTTAAGGAAGGATGATCCTAATATACCTGTCAATTCTGGCTGACTGGTATTAATAAAAGTGCTAAACTTTACTTGTTTTCCAGCAATATTTATTTCAACCGTTCCAGACGTATTAATTGATGTAGGACCTGAGGCAAATTTTTCTGCCTTATTTATAATTAAACTTGGAAAAATTTGATCTTCTTTAATTAAATTGATGTTAATACAAGGATTAATTATGAATAAACCCCGTGAATTTTTTATGTCTTTTGAGGAAATATGAATTTTTGGGTATATTTCGATATTAAATACAATATTATTTGAGGGATTAGATTCGGACATTACCGAACTTTATTTCCTAGAAAAACACCTAGGTGTGATAAAGAAAAGACAAGTTTGGAAAATCTTTTGCAGTACGTTCGCGTTCTAAATGTAAAATTTCATAATCCAGAGCCCAATTATTAAAGTAATCAGTGTTGAATATTATGTCTAAAAATGGCGCGCCCAAAATACCTATAATTTCAGAATCGCTTTCCACATTTAAAACTCCAAAATTTAATGAGAAATGATAAAAATTTATTCTTACAGTGCCCCTCGATACTACTGTATTTCGACGAGCGAAATGTACTTCATTAGTACAAATACAGGCAATTGATGATAATTCTTTTTCTTTGATTAAGTTTATGGTCGAAGTATGATCAATAATAAATTTTTCTTTATTTAATTTAAAAGAAGCTGATATTAATTCAACACTTGGATATCTATATCTGTTATGTTCAGTATTAAGAAAATAGTTATTCATTTAAGTTAAAGAATGTTTAATTTTCTTTATATGCAACTTCGTTCTTCTTTAGTTGCACAATAAATAAAGGCAAAAGCAAGAGTAAAAATAATATATAACACAATGTAAACTTCACATGGCATCTTTATTATTCTTTGATTATTATTTTTTTTAACAGTATGAGAACGGTGTCAATTAATTTTTGATGATTTGTTAGGGTTAATGATTTTTTTTGTATTCCCTAAGATTTCTTCGAAAAATTGTGAGAACTCTTCTTGATTTTTAAATGACTTGATGCTTTTATTCTCAATGCTAATAGTATCACTGTATCTCCTTTTGGCTTTCAAGCCTCCTCTATTCCTTGGTTTTTTAATATTCTCAGTTTTGTTTTGCATAACCTGGTAAGTAATTAGACAAATGTAACATTTTGTAATGAATTTATGAAAATAATAAAATAAAACTTTCTTTTATTAATTTTGAGTAAATTAAAACTTTACAAAGGTGTTTTTCGCCGTGCGGCGTAAATTAACACAGCAAAGATATCAATTATTTTCAAAAACAAGAAGTATAATCAAAATATTAGTATGACATTCAGCATTAAGCATAAACTATCAATAATTTTCAAAACCGAATTCGCCGTGCGGCATAAAAGGTTTTGCCAATACTTTTGAATTTAAAATTGTCATTCACAACTAGTCGACCAATTAATATAAGACACTCAATATTACAGTTCCGCCGTACGGCGCAAAATGCAATTTTACTGTAGAAAGGTTTTTCGCCGTGCGGCGCAAAAACGATTCTATTTTTGAGAGTCTTAATTCAATTATCAATAATAATTGTAAACAATGAATGGATGTAAAATGTACCTCATATAATTTAAACTGAGTTTAAGATTATAAATTTGAAATTAAATATATGTATATATATATACGAGAAGTGAGAATCCCACCGCTGCCACCAAATCAGCTGTTACGTCCCGAGCTGAACGCGTTTTTAATTGTATTCGTTGTTTAATTTTCTTCGGAAATTAGATGATTTATCAAGTTGGTAAGACTTGACATTTATTTTTACGTGGGTTATTTTCACTTTAACAAAACTATGGGTTTTGCGTTACAATAACAAGGCTGATAACTCCCATTTATGATATTTATTGGTTAACAACTTATTTATTACAATGTTTTCATACAATGTTGTATTTACTTACTTTGACAATTATCGCAGTTAATCAATCGTACACAGCTTAGTCGATATAATTTGTTTATTCAATCAGTTGAGTTTCAATTGAATATATCACTTTGGTAACAGAACGACTTTTATGCTTTATTATAGTTGTTTTTAAGCTTATACACTTATTTCGCGTTGTTTTATTGACACTTGAAGCTATAAGGAAAGAAACTTGTTTCTTTAAGTGCAGGAAAAGCAACTCGCAAAATTAATGTAATGTAACTTTATTATTTAAACCCCTAATATACGACAATTAATTCAATTTTGTTAATATTTCTAAGCGTTAATATTGCTTTTCTTGCACCATCAGAAGAAAAGAAACTTGTTTTTAAGTGAAAAACAATTTAACTTGCACCGAAACACGGAAAGAATACAATAACTTTTATAGAATAATTGAAGGGTCGCTCTACGACACACGATGGAAATCTTATCGGAACTTATGACTTCAACAATGGTAATTCCTTAGGTTTATATAGCAATTAAAAACTACTAGAATGGGGATGAAATCGGAAAAAGCACGCACTCGAGCCAAAATCTAGAAGTCACGTTTTCTCGACGATTTCTAGAAAGCACGTACAGAGTATCATGTTTCTCTTGGTGTATGTGTTCTCGATCGTAGAGCACGACCAATGAAGATTCTTTTTAATAATCATTGATCCCATCACGATCGTCATTGTTTAATAAAAGTTACAACCCTTTTGTGATATAAACTAATCTACATTTATGTTTATAATTGATTATATGTGACACGGACAATTAAAAGAGACCTACGATCCGAAAAAAAGATTTCGAGAAAAACGACTTTGAAGTTTAGCAAGTTGATTTTGATACTTGTGAACGTTTTAATGAATTGAAACTTGTTACTTAGGGGTTTTGGGGTCGTTGATGACGATTATGATGTTAGTTTTTAAAAATTCAAAATAGCGGATTCAATATGGCGGATGACTTTTTTAAAAATTGATCAGATTCGCTTGAAATTCTTCACTCGAGGGTTTTCGGGGTCGCTGATTACGAATATGATGTTACTTTTTAAAAATTTAAAATGGCGGATCCAATATGGCGGATGACTTTTTTAAAAATTGATCTGATTCGCTTGAAATTCGTTACTCGGGGGTTATTGGGGTCAGTGATTACGAATATGATGTTAGTTT